CTTTTCAGTGTATTTCTTCGCACAACTACAACCATCCAGGGTCACACAGAAGGGGGTAAACACCAGGGCTTTTCTTCTTCTTTTTATTTCTTTTCATGCCCCACCTTCCGAGCATACGATAGGGGAACCGGGCCTAGGGCTCGCCGAACACACGTATCTACAAACAATCACATACACGGTGGAAGGACCACCGATTGCACCCGTAGGCTGCTCGAAACAGCGGGGATGTGGGGTGGGGGGTGCAAAGACAAGAAGCAAATCCGAAAAACGTACCGGAGAGACCGGCCTTGGCCCTGTCCGCAACGTGCCCCACGCCGAGAGCCTTGACGAGGGCGTCCACGGCGCTCTTGGCCTCCCCCGCCGCCTCCAAGTCAGCTGTCTCGTCCGCGGCACGCTTGAGGGCCGGCAACAGCATGGGGATAAAGGGAGCCACGTCCTCTGCCTCCGTCACCAGGCGGCACATGTTGCCAATCACCTGGAGGGGAGAGGGGATGGAACGTTAATTGTTTTTTGTTAATGGTCAACAAGGACACGGCGAACTTATTTCTTGTACTCATGCACATGCCTTTTCCATGAGATGGGACAAACGAGTCATCGTAGGCAACACCAGATACCACCTCCCCCTAGCTCCATTTCTCCGCAGCAGAAAAGAGTGGCGTGTCGGCGTTGAAACCACCGCTTCGTCGAGCACCTTCCGAGAACGTGTCGTCTGTAGTAATACATCTTCGTGGACAAATCGAGCTCTGAGGATTGGTGGTGTGGAGGGTGTGGTATCTTCCGTCACCTACTGCTACTGCCTGTGGCGCAAAAATGTGTCCACCCACCATGCCGGCCTTGCGGTGCATGTTGCTCTGTCGAGTCTTGAGGCACTTGCTGAGAAGGGGAGCGATTACGGAGAGCGTCGCGCGGTCCACCCGTGTGACGAAGGTCGTGGCCAGGAGGGCGTCGAGGGTGCTCTCCGTCTCCGCCGGCTTGGCGATGACCCTAACCAATCGGTCAACCTGCAGCAACACAAAGCAACGAAAAAACAAAACAAGCCACAAGACGCATAGAATACACCACAAGCGTGAACGATGTTTCGCGGCACAGACGGACAGGATAGAAACAGGTGACCAGGCGACCTCCTGGCTCGTCGTGCTGAAGAACGATTGATCCTTTGACAAAAAAAATGCCGACCAAAGCGTTTGTGCGAACTGCAATCCTTCCCGCCTTCCCTCCCGTATATTCTGCATGCGACCGACAAGCTCTCAGCGTTGCTCCCGCGTGTGTTTGCGAGAGCCCACAAGACAACACCCCGTGTGGAAACATCGCCAAAAAAAACAACAAGCCTGGAATTCTGGTCTGCACCACCCAATGTGAGGGGGTGGGTGGCAGCATCGAGCTCTCTCTACCGACAAACTCGCTGACAAATAAGCGAGATCACTTGTTTCTTCTCACCAGAGGCTCAATGTCCGGGTTGCCGATGCAGGCGCACGCCGCCAGCAGCGCGTGCTTCGAGGCGGCCTGCACCTCCTTCTTCGTATCCCACACCTGGTGCGAGACCACGGGTACTATCTCGGGCAGCGCCAGCGCCACCTGTTGCGGCGAGCTCTCCGCCATCACGGCCATCACCTCCAGCGCGCCTGCCTTTATCCTCCAGGTGTCGCTCGCCACCGCCTCCGTGATCATCGGCAGGGCCACCCTCACGGCGTGCGGATTAAGGGTTCGGGCCACCGCGGCGCCGGCGTCGGCGGCGGCGGCGCGCACCTGCGCCGCCTGCGCCCCGTTGGCCTGCAGCACCAGCGGCAGCAGGGCCACCACGTACGGCTCCCCGCCAGGCCCGGCGAGCTCGCACATGGCGTGGATCGCCAGGAGGGCTCCTTCCCGGGCGGCCGGCGCGTTCCCCTCGGGAAGGAACTCGCGGAGCTGGGCCTCGACCCAGGGGGCCTCGGCGTTCGAAGCGGCGATCGACCTGGCGACCGCGACGGCCGCTCTTCGTCGAGCAGACGCGTCGCCGGCCTCCCCCAGGCACCCGCAGTGCTCCGCCAGGCTCTGGAGCCGCTCTCCGTCCCCAAGAGCGGCTATCTCCTCCGCGGACATCATGCTCGAGGCCGAGGCCTTGACGCCGTTCCGGACCCACGCCGTGAGCTTCGGGCCGGCGGCGGCGGCCGTCTGCGCGCGGGCGGCGGCGGCGGCGACTGTCGTTACCGACGGCTTCGCCGCCGCCGCCTTCGCGGCCGGACGCGGGGCCGTGCGCAACGGCGCGGGCGGCGGCGCCGGCGCGCACGCCGGCACCAGGTCGGCGTTCAGCTCCATGAAGAGCCGCGTGGAGCGGTCCTTCATGGCCGCGTTCTCCGTGTCCCGGACGGCCTCCGCGGCCTTGGTCGCCGCGTCGGTGACCGCCTTCGCGGCGGCCTTGGCGGCGGCGGAGGCGTTTTTCTTATCGACGGCGCCGGCGGCGCCGTTCGCCGCCGATGCGGTCGTCGCGGTCGTTGCCGACATGGCCGCCGGGTTCGAGGTGAAAGCCTTGAGGGCGGCGAGGGCGCCCCGGCGATCGCCCGCGGCCTCGCGGACCTCGGAGAGGCGGAGCCGGAGGGGGCGGGAGCGGCCGTAGTTCCCCTTGCTCTCCGCGATGTCGACGCACTTGGACAGGGCCTCGGCCAGCTGCTTGTTGTCGTTGCCGGTCTCGAGGAAGTCTGCGAGGGCTCGCCACGCCTTGGGGTTATCGGGCGCCAGCTGCATGTTTGATTGGTTCGACGAGGCACGGCAGCGGGTGGGAGCCAGGGTTAGTTGGCGGAGGCAGGCAGGTAAAAACGAACGCATGTACAGTACACCCGTAGGAATTATTGCTATATTAGGGATAGACGGGAGATGTGGAACGTTCTTTGGAATGTTGTGTATGGAGAGGAGTCGTTCAAGCCGCGGGTTTTGCTCTGTGCGTGCGGGCAGAGTGCGTGAGTACTTGCCGCAAAAGGGGGTTGCAAGATGCGGGGTGCTACTGCTGCTGCATGAAGCAAGTGCGAGACTCAAGTGTGGCATGCCTACTCAAACCTGAGGTTCGTTGACTCGACACCGATACAGAAAAAAAAAAAAAACGGTTGACGCACAAACATATTAGAAATGGGCACATCATAGAGCCAAACAAGGGCCCGCAAGGGCTCCGTATGCCGACTTCCCATGATTTATTTCTCAATATTCGTACATCGACCTACCGAGGAAGGTACTTCGGTACGACACCCCGATTGTTTTTACGCGTTTGTATTAACGAAACATCCCCAGCGGACCGAGGGAGCACTGCTGGCGGTGCCAACCGGAAACGTGAACACACCTTTGTGGCTTCGTGCAGCTGATGAGAGGCAGCGGTTCGGTCCCCGGCCGCCACGGCCGCCTTCGCCCCGGCAAGCAGGCTGCCCACCGTAGGCTGCGATTCCATAGTTCCGTTCGTGGCGTGCTCGGCCTTTGACGGGGGAGGAGAAAAGGGGAAGGTGACACACAAAAAACACAGCGTTGGAGACGCGGGAAAACCTGCCGTTGCAGAGCAAAGCAGCAACCAGTGCAGTCCGCCTACTGCTGTTCACTATTTTTTTCGAATTTGTGTTATGTCGTTGCCTGTCTGCTGAAAAGTAGGCGAAGTCGATTGTGTTTGTTGAGTTCTTCAGATCAAAAAAAAAAAAACGAGGGATGCTTCGAGAGAGAGAGAGAGATGAAAAGCTTGGCGTGTGATGACGCGTACGTGGCGCTTCAAATTTGGAGGGAAGTTCGGAACGATGGTTTGCGCAAGCTTTGCGGAACAGCCGGTGGGGCGGCGGCACCTCCTACGATACCGCTGTCATGGCCCTGAGCCAGGTGGTGGCTCATGAAGTCAGAAACTAATTGCGAACTGGGAGAAAGGAGAGACGGGCGGTGGGGGTAAAACACAAAACACCCGACAAACGCACGCGGGTGGCTGTTAGTTCAGTAGCAAACGCGATTGAGAGGGAACCACCCAAAAGTGCGTACTGTCCAAGGCAGTCTGAACGACACACACACACAAGCCAGGGTTCACCGCACCAAGGATACCTCGATGCAAGACACGAGGGCTTCCGCCGTGCGTCGTGCATCTAGTCCGATCTGCATCACAACGCGCTAGCACCCAGTCAAGCCTTCGGATGACAGCAGCAGCAGTGCAGCTGGATTTAGCAGGCTGCTTACCACCATCGGATGAACAGGGTTTGACCGCATCGATTCCCGCATCACCCCCCCACGGCTACAACACCCTGCCGACAGCAGAGTTTGCCGAGCCTACCGTGCTTGGCTACATACTACTCACCGTTCCCATATTGCCTTGGCGGGAAGCTGGCTGTCGCGAGAGGTTGATGTGCGAAACAGGCCAAATCGAGAACTATGCAGGAGAGGGCCGATGAGAGAGAGACGGTGGTGATGACGCATCTCTACGAACTCTCTGAAACGGCTGGCAAAAAAAAAAAACACACGTCATCGAAATGTTGTGTTGAACTGACAAAGGGAAAAAAGACACAAGCGTTTACCCCCTCCGCGTTCTCTCTTGAGGCCAGACGTGATGGTTTTGGGGGGAAGATCTAGGGCATAGGTGTGGGTGCAGCAACAAACGGCTCAGCTGCTGGGCTAAAGCAAGCGGGAAAGTTTTCGGTGCGGTTTCAACGCTCAGCGCGCATACGAAAGCCGGCGCCAAGTTTGGAAGGTTGATTCGTCTGCATGAACAAGAATCAGCTTGTTGTGCCAATAGATTCTGCGGCGGGTGGAAAATTAACCTTGGGGTTTGTCCCGAAGGAAGGCGGTGTCCCCTATCATTCGGGGACAACGTAAACGACACGCCGTCTTGTTGGTCCTCTATTGTCCATCCCGATATCAAAGCTGCTGCGTTCCCACCGGAAATTCAACGGCATATGAGTGATGGCGGAGTGCCACAGCACGACGACCAAATCTTGACCAGCAGGCACTTTCATGTCACGCAGAAAGATACCGTAAGCAACGTGCAGCTTTGGGATTGAATTGTCTTCAACATGGCTCCTGCTGGAGATGACGACGAGCAACTTCCTACCACAAAGGGAGCCGAGGATGGTGCACCGCCGGAATCCGAGGAGGACTACGTTGAGGCGGTGACGAGACATGCCAAGTATCTTGGCATGGATCCAGAGCGTGATGGTACCTACATGTGGATTGCAGAAGAGGTTCGTTCGTGCTGTTGTTATCTAGACTATGCTGCAGTATTATGGTAGTGATTTCTCTCCAGTTGATCCCGCAGCACGAAGTCTGGAGGGCACGTGCGGAGTAAGGCGTGTGACTGCTGGTGTTGAGTTGTGCAGGCCCATGGTCTAACAAAGCCAAGATAGCTCCCTGAGTTTGTGAATGATATTTGGTACACTCGTATTCATGACTGCTTCAACAGCACGCACTGCTGTACAAGAGTGTGCTTTGCACACAGCCATTGTGTTGTGCCACAGAAGGTTGCTCCACATAGTCTGAGCAACCATCCCTTAGGGGTTCCAGCCGTTGCCCTTGCACCAATAAAGCAGCTGCAACAGAGGAAGGATTGGTTTTCGGTCATTTGCATCGGTAACTCCGCAATCGACGTACCAAAAGCCTGGTGTTAGCTGCACCGGATCGTCTCAATAAATAACCTGACGATAAAATACTGGAGGAATCAACAGTCGAGAGGATGCCAGTCAGCACCTTAGCTCCATGAGGCACCCATGCTTCCTCTACACCCCAGGCGCTAAACGCCAAGGTCCCCGAAGGATGGGTAACCGGGGAGGGAGAGGGAGAATACGAGGGCCTCGTATACTACTACAACGAGGCCACGGGAGAAAGCACGTGGGACCACCCCCTCGACGAGTACTACAGGTGCGTGAAGCAAGGCCAACCTATTTTACGCGTACTCGGTGATGAAGGTGTGCAATAGGTATCGGGTAGGAGGCTCACCCTGCCCTTCGTTGAAACGAAGATGGAGAAACTCCGGATTCAGAAGCAATAACAGGACTAAAACTGGAACACGAGGGAAAATAGCCCAACATCGCAACCTTGACAACCGAGTTGCCGCCGACAAAAAGGGCTATCGTTCTACGAAGATTTCGTTGGGCTTGCGTAAGAAAAATTGTCAACCTGAAACGTTTCAACACTTGTGTGCTTTATGTGCGCACCCACGCATCATTGGTGCCTGCATCTGAAACGAAGGTTGGTTGAGTTTTCCATTGAAGACTACGGTAACATTACCTGGCGGGTATCCGCGTCGTCTGCGAGTATCGATTAACTCAGGGAGCACCATGGTGACGAGTCGCTGATCCAAGCGGTTTTCCCTCGGTTACTTGCTCGCAACAGGGAGAAATTTAAGAGAAAAAAAGCCAGGCGGGCTGCGAGAGAAAATGACGATAAAGGAAATCGACAAGACTCGAAGTCTCGCGCATCTGCATCCAAGTCAAGAGCCAGCCGCAGCACTTGCAGCAGGCGCCACAGGTCGGGGGATGACACGGCAAACGACGAACGTAGCGAATCTAGATCACGGAGAGAGCACACGAAGGAGAAAGACGGGTCTTCAAACGGAGTGGCCAACGGAGATCAGGGCAGCCAGAGTTCGGGACGCCGTGACAACGCTAAGCGAAGCAAAACGCGCAAGGTTAGTCGCAGGCACAGGGATGACGGGGAACGGTCGAGACACCGCAGCACCAGCAGTAGAAGCCAGCGTACTGATGACAACGGGGACGGTAGAGATGAACGCCGAAGCTCAAAGCACCGTCGGAACGCAAGCAACGGACACAGTGATAGCGGCCGGGCCCACAGGAGCGAAGAAGAAGACGGGGGGCGCCGACGAAAGGAAGAGGGCCGTCGGAGACGGGGGAGTGGTCGCGAGCGGGAATCATCTAGTGGACGGCATCAATGCCGCACTCGAGACAAAACACGGAGGAGCAGCAGCGGCGACGGTGAAAGCGTCAGGTCGAAGCTAGACGAGCCACCAGAGAAGAGAGAAAAACAGGTGGAGGTTGGGAACAGGGCAGCCAATAACGGTTATTGATTACTGTCGCCCAATGGTAACGTTCCTCAGGCAAGGCGGCAAGTTCATTTCGTAAGGCCAGGTCGTAGGATGAAGTGAGCATCGCCGACCCTTAGGAGAAGATGTCGATGCCGTGCCACGACAAAATAGACCGGTGAGAGAGACCGGGTGCGGGGAACACAACAGGTTAATTATCTCTTCAATCTTGTTGTCTGAAGCAGGAGTCCCCCAGCAAAAGTCCACGGCCCGACAAGCACCACAGCCGTAGTCAAGAGAGGGGAAGACGAGATGAAAATCGTGAGTCTTTCGAGCCCGACCGTAAGGAGCGAGGAAGGGGGTCCAGGCAAGAAGTATCGATGCAGCTGGAGGAGACAAACCGCGGGGGCAGGACAACCGTGGCAACAGTTAGTGGAGACCTCGCAGCAGCAGCCGACAACTGGAGGACTAAAAGCATCGTGGGAGGGAGCACGTACTCACACAACGAGAAGAAAAGCCACCACGATGCCAACCGAAGCGCAGCCGATTCACGGAAAGGAAATGCCGGCAGCCAAGCAAGACGTGGTGGTTTCAGAGAGGACACTGATCGCGAAAGCGGGCACCGGACAGCGAATACAACAGTCGAGCGTGCGGAAAGCGTGGTCAACGAAATTAAAAGCAACACTTTATGTGTACAGAAGGATCCCGGTAATAAGGTTGACATGCCAGCGGTGCACCGCAGCGTTGATGGAAGGAGCGCCACGCAGGCCTCGACGGCGGCATGGAAGAACAATGATATGGAGGTACGCAAGATAGTGGGACCCTCTTTTTCCCTTGAATCTTGCACGGTTGTAGAAGCGAAAAGCTAGCTCTCGCGTTGAACAGTGTCGATGCTGGGATTCTGTCTGCATATCATTGTGCGAAGCTTTGCTCGTGCTAGAAAAAAGGGGTAGACGAAAGTCTCGTACAGTGGGATTGGTAGCCGGAACTCTCGGCTCCATGGTAGAAAAATGATCTCGCTCTTTCGAACATAGATATACGAATAGCACAAAGTTATGTCGATGTCGACATCATCCCATGCGAACTCCCTGTTCCTATCCAACAGGAAATAGACTTCGAAGACGAGCTACGAGACATGGAAGAAGGCGACGGTGGCCCAAACGTTCGGCACGACTCGCCAACTGAGATGGAAGCGCCTGACACAGAACCGCAAGGCAGATCACCTTCGGCCGTATCCGAAGTCGGTAGTGATACGAAGAACCAGGGTGAGCCACTGCCTTCCCCACCGATGTTCAAGGCTGCAGCGATTGCGGGGGACGACAAAGCCCGACAATCCAGATCGCGTGACCATCCGAACAAAGCTGGCAAGGGCAACAAATTGGGCAACGAAGACGAACCGCACTCCCGTCGTGATACAAGTGGGGAACGAGGTGTCAAATCGAGAGAGAACGGACTGCCGGCGACAGCGGGGACGGCTGATCCAGACCTGGACGACTGGCCAGAGGTCGCCAGCAATCCCGCAAAGGAACGCGCATGGGGGGATTCCGGAACAGAGCAAAAGGGGAAGCGATACTCGAACGCGCACGGCACCCAGACAGTACGTGAAAGTCGGGTGGAGACTGGCCGGAGGGGTCGAGAGAGGGATGACCAACCCGACGTTGTGTTTGCGAACGGTGTTGATCGGAATCGTATACACGGTGAGGACAGCGACGACCACCGGCGAGGCACCGGCGCAACGCAAGGCTACGACAGACACGTGGAGCGAACGTCTGAACGGGAATCTCGCCGCCTTCGACACGGCGGTGGAATACAAAGGGATCGTGATTCCGGAATGGCGTCACCCCGCCGCGAAGACCGCACGGACAGGAACGACAGACAGGGTGGACATTCAGGAAGACGATCAACCGCAAAAGGCAGCACCGCAAGCCCCAGGCAACCGTCTGGAAACCATGGGGGTGACTGCGGTGCGGACCAGTACTCTAGTGGCGACCGTTGGGACCACCAATACAGCAGCTTCGGCGATGTCGAGGGTCAGCGATGGGGTGGCGGCGAGAGGGTCTCGGCAATGCAAAGAGACCGCAGAGACGAAGACGTGCAGCCAATGACGAGGGAGAAGGACAAGCTCGAGAGGCAGCTGCAGCAGCAACAGCACGAAGCTGCCGAAAAAGCCAGGGAGCTGGAGACTAAGGTGCATGTCGGACTAGGATGTGGTACTAACGGCACAATCAAACCAGATTGAGCATCTACGAAGGTCGGTCCGCCTAGTTGAAAGTTTCATGTTTGAAAACATGTTGCGGTTTAGCGTGAAACCTGAGGAGAAACAACCACAAGACTGCGGTCACGGCCCACGGCCTACGCCGTGCAAACCCTGGACATTTTGCTGGTACGGAACGCAACAAATCATGCGGTATGGGCGCCAAGCCCCCCCCCCTTCGCTGAAAACACGTTCCGAGCAACGGAGTACAACATTCGTGTACACAGGACGTGCTGGGAGGACGGGGAGATGTGCGAGCACCTAAGAAGAGGATTACCGAGCGTAAGAGACATCGCAACGTTCGTTCCCGCCAATTGTCCTGATGGCAAGCTCTTCTTGCGTGCCGAACAAACCTCAACATCCTGCCGGCCACACAATATTCTTCACGGCGCCGTCTTGCGTGCGCTTCGTCGCTTTTCACGTTCTAGGTACTGAAACTCGAGGCTAGCTTGGCTTCCAGCACTTCGCGCGAAGATCTCCTCCGCAGGGAGCTAGCGGATGCGGCCAGGAGAGAGGGGCTCGCCCAAGAGAAGCATGCGAGGGCATTATCCGAGGTAGGGCAAAGATCGGCGGGGGTCGGGGGTGAGACGAAAGAGGAGGGTGACACACGGAGATGGGCGGACTCGTGTGGGCTTCGGTCGGACCGCTGGGCCCGCATGGCTTCTGACACGTGATGACTGACATCCCTCGTCCGTGTGTGCACTTCTGTCCAAACCAACCTCTCTCGAGCAGCAAGAGCAAAAGGCGGCAAGCTTGAATGAAAAACTTGCTGAGGCGGCCTCGAAGGCAAGCGAGGTGAGGTAGAATACAACCAATGTACACGCTACTGCCGGCCTCGCAAGAACCCGGTAGTAAGCAAGAATCGATGCCTGTACCGAGAGCAAAAAGCGCAAGAGCTACGGTCATTTGCAGACACTGGTGACCCTACGGTTCTTTCCTCGCGGTGTGTCACGGGCGCTCGCCACGAAAGCCGTACCCCCACCTATGTCACCTGCTCCCTACGTAGCCACTTCAGTATTCTACCGCTGCGGTCTGGCGCACGCAATTATCAAAGTCTGAAAGCAAGCGCATACACGACTTCCCGCTTGCAATATTCTGCTGTCCCGTGGTCTTACACCATCACCCTGGTTTCGGCTGTCCAACACTACAAACGTTTGGAGTCCGCGCTCTACTACCCACCCATGTTGGCTGTCCTTCCCCATACCCGCCTGCACATAGACTCGCTGATCCCTTTTTCGGGCAAAGGCAAACGCTACACTCTTGCGCGTCCGTTATTCTCCTTGTAGATAGCTGCGCATCTGGTTTAAGGTACCTTCGTGCTGGTTGTACTCTGTCGTCGCGGAAGTCCGGCGGTAGTCATAGCATGTTCACGTACGGCACAGAGGCCGCTTCCACTTGATTCCAACACGGCGTAGCTTTTCATGCTCCTAATCGCTCGGAGAGTGAAATTGCATGATGATGATCTCTTATTTTTTTTCCCATTTTTTATTTATGTGTAACCTCGTTGCCGGACACTCGACGCTTGAACAGGAGCTTTGTTCTCGAGAGCGCTCAACTTCTCGTTCTTGGGTAGGTTGGTCATTCTCGGAGATTATAAAGCATCTTCGAAGACATCTTGCTGTTGAACCAGAACACAACCGTTCTTTCACTCACCACCTGTGGCACATATTTCAGATGTCTGTCGCCGGCGTGGCCGGGAAGGAAAAGGAAGAGGGGTTGCGACTAGAACTAAAGAACGCTCTCAAAAGGGCAGAAGCCGCGGAAGGCGCCCTCGCTCGGAAGGAGGTGAGTGTAGTGTCAAGAGTCACAACATGGTCGAATCGACCGGTGGTGTACGGATGTTCTGGAGACTGATCGCACTTACGATGGTATCAACTATTCCAGGAATAAAACGATACTGCAACTGAACATGAGCTGACCACAAGATAGTAGCAAGATTCGTTCGTCAAACGCCTGCACTTCGCGCACCATCCTGCGTGTTTTGGCTCGGCAGGAGGCAGAAAAGGTTCCGGCGGAGAGGGAAAGTGAGGTCCCAAGACTTCAACTCCTGCTGGCAAACAAGGAGTCAGAGGCTGCAAGCCAGGTGCGAGGGCGTCTCACAACGGTTTAGACTATACCGCTTGCCCCTGCTTTCAACTGGCCGGTTCCTCTACAGCACAGGGAGTGTATGTGGTCACGACCTTAATGAGAACCGACAACGAGGCAATGGGGCCTTCTCCGTCCGTACCTTGCAAGTCGTGTCCGCACGCCTGTATTTTTGCACAGGAAAGACGCTCTAGACATTAGCAGTGAATTTTCATCTTGCGCTCTCTCCTGTACGCAGTTGAAACCGCCTGGAAGGACGATTGTGTCGAACCTATATGAGGTCCAGTGAATACATTCACGTCCCTTCACTTGTACAGGTCGAGCAGCGAGAATAGCAGAAACAACCCATAGCCTAGGAAGATACCTCTTTCAGTCACATGGCGCTCACTGTTGTTGATGAAATTCACTGGTCTAAGCAACCGGCCATGAGCACCACACCGAGAAGTGCGCTATGGCAAGCGTCCCTCTTGACTCGTTCTGTGCACGCGGGTCTGTTGCTGATTATTCTTCCTCGTTGTGTACTTCGTCCACCAGGGAAGGGAGCTAGTGGAAATGCAAAGTCGGTTGGCAGAAGCACTGAAGAAGGTAAGATGGGGGGATCGCAACCGCGTGTCGCACGTGTCATTGAGCGCAGTACTGAAGCGATAATTAAATCTATGAGTATATTGGGGTTCGTGCTACGTCCGATTAGTCTAGACGAGATATTTCAAAACAGGCCAGCGTTGCGAGGTGGGTAGTCATCGCCTTTCAAAATTGTGTTTCCCTGTCGTATTGCCCTGCATGACGTATCGCGGAATGGTTCCAGGAGTCGGAATCATCGAAGGAGCTGCATCATGCCAGAGATCTGGCGGAACGACGGAGACTTGAGGCGGCTGAAACCAGGCAAGCATATCGGTTTTCCCTGGAGTGAAATAGTAGCACAGGGATACGAAAAGATGGTCAAAGCTGGGCATTCACTGGTTCGCCCCTTATCTTCGAAGTAGTTTCATGCGGCACGTTGCTGACAGCTCAGTTCTTCCTCGCGACGGTACGAGTACTAGTCTATGCAGCAGGATGCGTATACCACAAACCTGATTTACGTATCATCGTTGTAGCAAATTTTCATCCTTGTCTCTGTTGGTCGACCTTGGACTGCACACGAAATAGCAGCAACTCACTCCGTGGATATGACCACCGCACAGATTATGTGAAATACAACCGACCTTGACCTGCTGTTTGATCCTACGCATGCGGGCACGATGCAGTGCTCGAGCGTCCACTTCAGAGGCGGCTCTTTCTCAGGCTGCCAGCGAGATGTCTGCGCTCAACCACGCGCTCTCCAGGTGCAGCCAATGTAGGACTGACCAGCTAGAAACTCGACACCATAGGACAATCGGTTTGGAACTGCGTGTTTCCCAGCACGGGCCCAACGGTACATCGTGGATGTGAGGTGCATTGTTGAACGAGAAGATGATGCCCACGCGCTGAAAGATGGATCAAACCATGTTTAGACATGGAGGTCGAGCCGTAGCCCGCCACGAGCGGTGTCAGCATTCAGAGACACCGGATGGAAGTGGAGAGATGTCAGCCAACGAAGAACGGGCTAGTGACTTGCTTGACAAACCGCGCTTAATCAGAACCAAACCACCTTCAACCATGATGTACAACTCGCTGCGACGGGAAAACAAAACAACAAAGCAGGGCCCGCGACGAAGTATCCTTCAAGGAATCGGAAATCGCAAAGGCCGGGGAGGAAGCAAGCCGTTTGCGTGTGCAGCTGGGCCTTGCGCAGGAGAAGCTCAGAAATGCTGAGGTCAGTTAAGGAACGGGGGCGGGGCACCGGACTACTGCATCTGAGCCGTAGTTCTGGTCTAGAGACCTTATATGGTGTATAGGTCATTCTCTCCACCCTCAATTCGATGCTAGGGAAAAGCAGCTACGCCCGGTCAACTAGTTAAGGCCATGCCACAATATAGACTACCGTTAGCATTGACGTTCCCGCTTCGCGACGGACATGCATATAAGGGTGCCTTGCCACGGCACACCGGCGTGAAAACTACAAACCCACCATCGTTGTCGTTGGCTAGAACATCGCAGCTAGATCATTATTTTCATGTTATTCGCCGCTGTACGAACGCAAGATCGAAATACCACCTGTAGAATGCAGTACGCACATGGAGACGAGCGCCACATATCAACGACGTCGTGAAAACCAGGCTTGTCAACAGAGGACAAAGGCCGCGTTCGAGAGCGAGGCCGAGAGTTTCCGAGCAAGGGCGGCGGAGCTTCAGTCGGCCAACGCCTCCATGGAACGAGAAATGCGAAACAGTCAGCAGGACGCCTTATCAAGGTGGTCCGAGCAGTGCATAGGGCGGTTTAGAATGGGCGGTTTGGAACAACGAATCGCTGCTCACTGTGGGAAACAGGCCGCGGAACGTTCAGTAGTGAGGTCGACGGAGGCTAAGGCAAAAGCGGTACACAAGCTATTCGTCGTGCCAAGGACTCCGACACACGACAGGTTACCGCGAATCATTTGCAGGTGCTAGCGATTTCAACACAACTCACCCCATCAGTTGTATCCCCACTTTTTTCAATTCCCCAGGCTCAGAGAATCGGAAAGGGAGCGCGACGCAGCTGTCTATGAGGGGAAAAGGTCCACGGAGCTCGCCGCTTCAGCGGAAACGTGGAGGTTGAAAGAGACTCTCAGGGCTGACGCGTGAGCATATGCGGGTACCCTTCTCAACCTTCTGTGAAATGGCAGTCTCCACGTCCGTATTGCGAGAAAATTGAACAGGTGGAGGAACGAACCGTACGTTAGATCGATACTGAGATTGTCGCATGTGATAATACCAGCGGGGACATGCGGAAGTACATTGAATTTCCAGAACAAGTCTCGAGTTTGTAGCATGGATGGCACTTTTGTGACGTGCTTCAGAGAGCTCCTCACGGAGCGAATTGCACATACATCTGAACGGCGCTTTCGGAACCTAGAACATTGCGGACGTGACGGAAAAAAGGCACCTATCATCTATAGCGCAAAATCCGACGTTCCACTGCATGTAGTCCAAAGGAACGTATCACCGGACTACAAAATCCGTAAAGGTTGACATCCGCGACATGCCACGAGCTCCAAACGATTGGACAACATACCTGGGGTTCTCTTCCGATATGTCTGCAAGCTGTACCCGTCGAAGAGGACCAAACACAAGCCGTAGTTCATAGAATTGGTGGGATATTAGACGACGCTACGCTTCTATTTACGAGCCATCGGAGAGTCGACCTTCCTTGCTTTGTTGGCCTGAAGCATTGCCGTCCGCATTTCCATTTCCATACAACCCACCACACGAAACTGTGTAGAGCGGAAGCTAAAGCCTTGAGCACGGGTACCGAGGTGGCAGAGCTGCGGTCGGAAGCAGCGAGACTACGGACCAGCATGGACGCAGTGGTCGCGCCGCATGTGAAGCGTAATGTAAGATTCGTCTGAATCACGTACACGATACCGGCAGTTTTGGCCGTGCTGCATGCATGGCTGGTGAATCTTGTTTGGAGCCTTTCGTAAGAATTGCTGGGCCACAGGCAAGCGCCTGAGAACCTGATTAAGCTTCGTCGAGATCTTTCCTTGTGAGTTCTTACGAGAAGTCTCGCATTAGCGCGCAGACCAAAGGTCGAACAGGCAAGGGGACTTGGCTGCGCGGTTGAATTGGCGGATTTACACTCTGTTGTACTCTCGGAATTAGAATCGACGACGAGTTCCCGGGAGATCTACGATTGAAGGTCCTGGTATGAGGTGCGATCAGCTGTTCTTCTAATTCTAAATATTGTGAGGGAATGGAAGCTCATCTACACCATGCTACGGTGATTCGCCCAGCGCCTCACCTCCTGACCGTAGTTGATTGAAACGTTATTTTTCGGTGTCATTCCTTGGTCAGGTAGAGCTACAGCGACAAGTTGAGGACGCTCGCAGGGAAGCGGCCGATCTGACAGCCGAGGTGAAGCGTCTGCAGGTAACGCAGTAGAAAAAACATCGGGGGGGGGGAGGGTTGGTGTGTACTTGTGGTGAAAAGTACGCGGAATAAATTTATCTGGTACGTGTCCAGTCCGCTGGGCACCAGGCCTTCGTTTTGGCAATCATAGAGACACGCAAGGCGAACAAACCGCTACGACTATACGTTCAACCACGAGACACCACGAACCATGGTTCCGTGCGGTCGGCAAAATTACGCGTGTTCGTCGCGACAAAGATACGCAGGTCTACGGGCCGATCACTTCGTGTTATCCATGGTCGAGAAACCTGTTACTGCAACGACCTTTACCACCTGCAGCGATATTTTGGGAGCTCGGCAAGAGCCAAAAGGGTGGCGACCTCGTAGGAGGTACAGCCGAACTCTAAACAAAGAACCTCGCCAATCTCACGTTTCCTCATCTCGACTTCTTCGTTTCTTGTCCCAGGAGTCGCATGCTTCTGAACTGTCTTCCCTGAAGGACGAAGTTTCCCGGAAGCTCCCTTGGATTGCCGAGAAGGCCGTGGCTGAAGCACGGAAGCACTTCCGACAGAAGGCAGAGGAGGACATGAAGGCCTTTCGGGCGGATAGGGATCGGCGGCTCGAAGAGCTGCAGGTCAGTAATGGTTCTGTGAACACACACAACAGACCAAGTTATCCGAAGTGGCCAATCAATGTTCGTGGGTCTGCGAATATTGGTGTTGGATACATGTGCTGGATGATTTGGTGTCACGCAGACTGGTAAGATGGCCGTTTGGTAGGGGGCACCGCGATGATTCACGGGGCCCCTCCTTGCTGTGGTAGCCGCTCTGGTTGGACCACTCCCTCTCTCGTCCGTGTGAAGGATGGTCATCTACCTCTCGTGAAGTTTATACGTCACCAAAACACTCACCCGATAAATATGTGGCGTAGGCCGCAAACACTCTAGAGTTTGTGCCCCTCGAGGGAAGCCACATTGGGATGAGCTCTGCTGGAGACGAAGAGCGCACTGCTGCGAGCGGAGAACAGATCCGCCCGCCGGTACAGGAGGGCCGCGA